GAGAGAGAGAGAGAGAGAGAGAGAGAGAGAGAGAGAGAGAGAGAGAGAGAGAGAGAGAGAGAGAGAGAGAGAGAGAGACGTTTGAGAGTTGAGGCTTTGATGACATTCGGGCGATTACCCAGATTCGGACATTGTATTCGGACAGAGACATTGGGGATTGTTGTTGGAGACTATTCATTCACAGAGCTATTTGCGTTGACATCTCCGTCTCTCCTCCATCTCCTTCCGTGGAGGCATTGTCAGCATGGCAGTTATTTTCTACATTTGAGGTGCCATGCCTATCATATGTGGTGTGATGATGGATGTATGCATTCCGTTCGAGTCATGATGAGTCAGATCTGTGTATATCAGTCTTCCACTGCGTTGTTATTGCTCTTTCTCCTTTGGTCGAGTCTTGGGTTCTGCGCCATGCAAATCATTTCATGAAAGAGAGATAGAGAGAAAAAAAAAGGGTTATGCACCATGCCTCTCTGATGTTTCTAGGCATGTGATGTACAGAGACTCAGAGAGCAAGAGTGAGAAAGTGAGAGAGCGAGAGCGCGCGCGCGCGCGCGCGCGCGCGCGCGAGAGAGAGAGAGAGAGAGAGAGAGAGAGAGAGAGAGAGAGAGAGAGAGAGAGAGAGAGAGAGAGAGAATATATGAGAGAGAGTGCCTGGCGGCCATAGCCTCCCTCTCCTTGTACAAAGACAATGTTGTGTGATCGAGTTGATTGGCCGAGATTATCTTCTAGTTCCATCTCACGTGTGCTTTGTGTGTGCTGCCATGTTTTGTGAGTTCGGTGTACAAGCGTCGTTCACGCTCGGTCTCAAAGCAAAAGCTCATTTGTCATGTGGATAATCTTCCACCTCCTCCTCCGTCTAACAACCTCATCCTTTGCGGCCTCCTCTGCCTCTCTCTTCTGGTGCTGCTGGTGCCCTGGGTCCTCCAACTTGCCCTATGCTGCAAACAATGGAGTTCGAAGGTGATGATGAAGTCTGCAGAGGAGGATCACGGTGGGGTGAGGGATCTGGTGGGGGGGGTGGTTTCTTGTTAGACGCCTGCCTGGAGGGGATTAATTACTTTCTTCCAGTGGACTCTTGGGAGCTCAAGGAACAGCTGAAGCGAAGATATGGAGACTACATCCAAGGGCTGGATATGGAGTCCGTCAGGAGGAAGAAGAAGGTGGCGCTTCCGGCTGCAGCTATCCACATCCTCAAGGAATGGTGGAAGAACCATCTCGATAAACCTTACCCAACAGTGAGTCAAATCAGACACATCAAATCCCACAACTTCATGACATGACTTCCCCTGGCTTGTTACTTTGCCCAGCTAACACACAAGTACAGTGCATTAACTCTTGGTCTGATCCATCTCTTTCGTCTGATATGCTTCTTTTCTGTTGCCCTCCCCTAGTATCATGTCTTGTCATATCCTTTTTTCTTTGCCCCCCCCCCCCCCCCTCCGCCCGTCCCCCCTCCCCCCCCAACCACCGGTTTTAGCAGATGTGCACAGAGGACTGTCTAAACTGTCTTTTTTTCTTTTCTTTTCTTCCCCACCCCCCCTCACCCCCCCCGATGGACCGTGGATCAGATGTTAATCTGATTGGAACATATACTATACTTGATCTATTTTTAGCCGAAAGGCAGATTTAAGGCAGAGAAATGTATCCTACCGATCTTTTGTCTTTTTTCATTTTTCCCCTTTTTCCCCCTCGCTGGTTGGTGTGAGTGACACTGTGTGCGTGTGCGTGTGCATGTATTGAAAGTTGTGGCCACTTGTTGAGGGCATAACTTCCACTTGCTTTACCTTCCTTCTATGGCAACTGGAGGTTATGATCTCAACAATTTGCAACAACTGTGGAGTTTAAAAAAGTGCATGGGTCCTGGGGACCATCTCACGCAGATGTGTACATGTCATGGATCATCTTCACACACAGCGATCAATAGTATCAACCATAAACAAAGGTAGAGAAGAAGAGGACCGAGTTTCACAGCTTATATTATCAGAAATATGAATACAAAGTGTTTCAAAGTTCCCCTGAGTCCAGCGCTCATCAGCGCAACCCCAATCTCTTGTCAGCTCATCAATATGACTTCCAGTGAATCAGCGCTACTCCTGCAGATAACCTCCAAGTCATCAATGTGGTCACTACCCATCAGCGCCACCTCTACAGCCCACATTCAACTCAGGTAAGTATCTTCCATAGCCCAACCTTGAATGAACACTCTCAGCCTCAATCTCTTCCTATGCATACACACCCTTCATTCATGAGGATCTTCTCTGAATACTACTCATAGCTACATACTAACCCACTACTACTAATGCTAACTTGCTGGGCAGCTATGGCTGCATCACTTCCAGCATGCAATCCTCTTCCCTCACTCAGCGCATCTGCTTCCTCCAGCGCTGCTCCTACTGACTTADCGYACAAGTGCTCCAGCACTTCCACGCTGAWACAGCCAGTGGAGATCTGGCGAGGAATGAGGCTGGCTGCCTCCTTTATACTCCTCGCTGGGTCTGCATTGGCTCAATTCAGCCTCTTTCCTTGTCCCAGACCCTGCATTGCATGTGTCCCAGTAGAGTCCCAMTGAAGTTCAACTGCTGCTGWGSCCTCYCGGCCTGWATTTGGACTWGAARGTCTGGATCTGGACTGACCCCTDGACTTAGACCRGAACTGGGACTGTGCCTAYTGACTTTAYTTTCGGACAGGCACAACTCTCAACGAACAGACACATTTACTGCTTGAACAGACACTTTACTTTGCACGAACAGGTACACTGCCTGCACGTATAGACACACTCTTACCCGAACAGACATGACATACACATCTCCTGGTGAACAGGTAAGTCTTTTGACAGTGCCCTTTGCCTTAGCTTTATATATGCATGTTGATAGGGAACTTGACCTTTGACCTGCTTTCACGTTTCTGAGCCCTGGCGAGATACCTTTTCACAATGCTTTACTTTTACAAGGTCTGTGCTGCGTTACTTTGACAAGGCCTGAGGCCTATTTCGGGTAAAGRCCCTTTTACTCTCGCCGGCTTAAATTCGAAGTCCTCTGAGAATAATTTACCTATCAAGGATATGAATTCCTTTCTTTACGCTTTCGTATGCAGACACAATATGAGGTGCAGAATCTAACAGCTCTTCTCTTGTAAACCAGCGATCTTCACTAGGATCCTGGTATGCAAACCTCACCTTATACTGTCGCTGTGGTCTGCCTCTACGTCCTGTGTGGTAAGTACTTTCTGCAACAATTTTATCCACGTCATACTTCCCATCCATACTCGGAGGTATCATTGATCGGCGACTTGGGAAGAGCTCATTTGTTACACAAGGTAAAAGCTTGGACACATGGAACACTGGATATGTACGTAGATGAGGAGGAATTTCAATGACATATGAAGGACCATCCACATCTCCAATTACGTTTAGAACTTGCCAAGGTCCTCTTTAGGTGGGTAGAAGCTTCTGAGAGATGTTCTCTTCAAGAGCAAACTCTTTAGATTTTACCCAAACCAAATCTCCTACAGCAAATTGAGACGGATGCCTATGTTTATTTGCCTGTTCAATCATTTGATGTTGTGCTTTTAAGTATATTTTCTTTTACCCAATGGTTAAAGAATTCCCGAATTACCAATTCAGTCTTTGCTTCCGCAGGTAAAGCTATAAAAACAGCATACTTAGTGAATCTATCCACTATGACCATTACTTGCGTTTTCCCATTCCTGCTTTTGACCTTAGTATCCATGAAATCTATAGAGACAGAGTCTCCAGGGCCGGTAGGGATAGGTAAGGGCTTAAGTAGCCCGAGGGGCGATTGCGTGGTGCTTTTGTTTCGTTGGCACACTTGGCAACCCTGCACATACGCGATACAGTCTGCTTTCATTCGGGCCAGGTGTAGGAACGCAATAAAGTTCCGTAGGTCTTCTTCCATCCAAAATGACCTTCTGTATCATGGCATTCCCCCAAGATCATACTTTTGATCTCTTCATTATTGGGTATACACAGCCTATCATTTACATCAGTTCGTTCAAACAATAGACCCTGAGTTACTTTATGATTGGGAAACTCTGCTGGCTTTTCTTGCACTAGCTCAATCATGGTTCCATATATAGGATCAGAGGAATACACATTCCTAATCTTCTCTTGTAGGTCAGTACCCACATCTAAATAAGTCACAATAGCACCGAAAAAGTCTGATCTACGACTTAGTGCATCAGCAACAACGTTATATTTACCCTTTACTGGCTTCAACTCAAAATCAAACATATCAATTTCCGCAGCCCACCTTGTCAACTTAGGTGTCATTCGCGCTTGAATTTTGAGCCAGCGAAGCGTTTCATGGTCGGAGTATACTTTAAAATGCCTTCCTAGAAGGTAGTGTCGCCAATGATTGAGAACCTCACGCATAGCATACAACTCTCGTTCATACGTTGAAGCGGCCACCTTCTCGTTAGGTAAGCGGCAAGACATAAACTCTACAGGTCTGTACCCATGCCCATCATCTTGTTGGAGTACAGCACCTATACCATATTGACTAGCGTCGGTCGTGACCACAAAAAGTAATGAAGGGTCTGCGACTTTCAGAACCGGATAATTGATCAAACACCTCTTCAGACGCTTGAAAGACATAGTGCAGTCTGAATCCCACTTCCAAATTACTTCTTTCTTAAGCAATCGACGAAGGGGAGCAGCTATTATCGTAAAGTGTCTT